ATCCATATTTTCAACCTCAATTTTTTAGTCTAAAAAGACAAAAACTACACTTATTTAGGACACCCCAAACAACCCCTTAATATAAAATCTTATCCGTCATGTTTAACAAAGTTTAGAGAGAGTGAGGAGATTTATAAGTGAATATAAGGTAGGCCGTCTAACGAAAATAAAAAAATAGTGAATCACATTAACGATTTCTATAGTTTGGATCTCGTGTTATTTTGATTCTTAATTTTTTAATTGTGACATATTTGATCCTAAATTTTGAATCTTATTCCAAATAAAGATAATTGGAGATACCATTGCTCAATTTAAAGGATAAAATATAAACTAATTTGACAAATATAAATATCAAAAAAATATTTTTAAATTTTTAAAAATTATTTCTATCCATTAAAGATAAAATTATGTAAAATTGATAAATTTTTTAGATATTTATTTATTTATTTATTTTACCAAATTAATTTTTATTATATGTTTGGATGATGATTATGTAATGGGTGATTATTTTTATTTTTATTAAATTAGTTTCTATTTTTTCAAAGGTCAAATATGGCGACAATTTTGATATCATGATTAAACCATTAAATCAAAAAATTCAAAACAAAAGACATTTCGTATATTAAATATATCGATTACACATTAAAAGTCTAATAACCACCCATTACATGATTATTATTCAAATATATAATAAAAATTAATTTAGTAAAAAATAAATAAATAAATGTCTAAAAGATTTATCAATTTTATATAATTTTATCTTTGATGGGTAGAAATTATTTTTAAAAATTCAAAAATATTTTTTTAACATTTATTTTTATTAAATTAGTTTCTATTTCATTAAATTTACGATTTTGTCTTTGAAATTGACCAATGGTATATTCAATTGTTCTTATTTAGAACAAAATTCAAAATTTAAGATCAAATATATCACAATTAAAAAGTTAGGAGTCAAAGTGACACAAGTCCCAAATTATAAGAATTATTATAATTTGCCCAAAAAAAAAAATTATGAATAACTAGACCATACAAGATAACAAACACCTTAACAAAGACTTGTTTTGAAAAATAGGTTAAAAATTATTTTTTTAATTTTTTTAAAAAATATGTAAAAAAATAAAGAAATGATGTGATAAAAAAAACCAAAAATTCTAAAATATCACTTTTAACCGCGTTGTCAAAAACAAGACAAAGTGAGACATATCCTCGTAGCATTCTTATCTGTGAGCCTAACCCTTCACATCATTCATTTCATGTTATTAAGACTGAATTAGTGGTTATCAAATTAGTGCTCCAAGTATTTTTGACCCTCTAATTAGAAAATATGAGTTTGGTTCATAGTTGTTAAACAACAAAATGGAAATAAAAAAACACAAGAAATGTGGATGGGAGAAAGACTCGTGTTAGGAGAAGGGCATTTATGTCAATTCAAGAAAGATGATGATGACACTTTCTGAATTGGTAATACTAAGTACACTCATTAATTTAAAAAAAAAATTATTTATAAGTCCTATTATGAAGACTTATATTACATATGGTCCTACTAAAAAATTTATGTTCCCATAAGTCTTGTGGGAAGTTTGTTGACACATTTACTCTCAATATTAGTTGTTAATATCATCAATAATAGTAAAACCATATATAGGAAATTAAATATTACTATAGATCATATTTATATAAACGTAACGTGACGTGACACCTATACGTAACGTGACACCTATATAAACGTAACGTGACACCTATGATCTATGGTAACATATAATTTCCTGTAACATAGATCATATCTATATAAACGTAACGTAACGTGACACCTATGATCTATGGCAACATTCAATTTTCTATATAAGAAATTGAATGTTGCCATAGATCATATAGGAAATTGAATGTTGCCATAGATCATATTTATATGAAACGTAACGTTACACCAATATAAACCAGCAACATTTTCACATTTAATTTTAAGAAATAAAAACTCATTAAGTTTGCGAAACGTAACGTGACACGTTACGTTACGTTTATGTAGGTGTTACGTTACGTTTATGTAGGTGTCACGTTACGTTTATGTAGGTGTCACGTTACATTACGTTTATATAGGTGTCATGTTACGTTACGCTTATGAAAGTGTCACGTCACGTTACGTTTATGTAGGATCTTGTGGAATACATTCCTATCTAAATAGGACTTGAGACTCTATAAGAAATTATATAGGACTTAGCCTACCATAAGTGTCTGAAAAAGGACTTATAAATAAGTTTTCCGTAATTTTATTTGTTTATTAATAAAAATCATATAGTATTTCTGAGATAATATTCAAAATCACAAAAGTTATACCATTGTGTAAACCATTGCATCTAGTAACAAACTCCAAACAATTGTGCAATTTTTGAGGATGTTGGGCGGTAAGGTATTTCTCAATAAGCTTGAAAGTATTGTATATATATATTTTTAAGAGCAATATTTGGTAGTTTGAATATGAGATTGGCTTGAAATTTACCTTGTCGATCGTTCGAATGGACGTTTGGCCGGTCGTTCGGTCAGGAGGTTGACAGTTGCGGTCGACAAATGTGACAACTGCGGTAGACAATCTTTCATCCGGTCGTTCGAGCGGATGTCTGGCCTATCATCCAGACGGAGGACCGGTCAACACCCATTCGGACCATTCGAACTCCCTCCAATTTAAGCTACTACACTTTTTCCTATTTTTAATGAGAGGACGGTAAGATATTTGTTAATAAAGTCGAAAGTATTGTATATATATATATATATATATTTAATGAGAGTGTGTATTATAAAAAATATACAATTATTTAAAATTTTATTAAGCAATATATTAGGGTACTAGTTAATAAAACTCATGAAAAATTGATATAATAATTTTTTTTTTTTTACTTATTAATGTGAAATCTATCCTATTATTTAAATAATTTTTGTTTCAATTTTCAAAATTTCTTTATTGTATGACACATGAATAAAAAACAATTTTCTATTTAATTTCACAACAATTTGAATTTTTAATTATTTTTATTTATAATGAGTGCATATAAGTGATAATTTTTTTGAATTAAAGATTTTGAACAAAAAGAAGGGACATATAAGGTTTCGTTTGGTAACACTTACGTTTTCAGTTTTCTGTTTATATTTACAAAAATTTTAAAAACTCAAATAAAAACTTGTTTGGTAAAATTTTTGATTTATAAATCAATGGTCTCAGTTTATAAATTTGGCCAAAAAATGAAAACACAAAAAATGTGTTTCCATTTTGAGTTTTCAGTTTTTTTTTTTTCACCCAAAACTAGCCACCACCCGTCACCATTTTCCACCACCACCACCCACCAACCACCCCCCACCACCACCTGCCACCACCACTCACCACCCATCGTGGCAGATATGTAAATACGGCGTTTCCGTACCATTTCTTGCGCATTACGGTTCGAACACACGAACACCTGTACGGATTCTCCTGCACAGTGGCAGATATGTAAATACGGCGTTTACATACCATTTCTCACGCATTAGGGTTCTAACACTCGGCATTACGGTTCGAACACTCGAACACCTATACGGATTCCCCCGCACATATACTTCCAATCACCTGTTGAGCTCGATGATTCACCTGCTACCACCACCACCGCCACCCACTCGCTACCACCCACCACCCGCTACCGTCACCCACTCACCCACCACCACCACCACCACCCACCCACCACCACCAGCTACCCACCACCCACCGTCACCACTTTTCACCACCGTCTTCCGCCGCCACTTGCCACCACTTGCCATTTCTCACTCTTTTGTATATTTTTAAATATTTTTAAACATTTTGTCAATTATCAAACGCGTTTGTAGTTTATGTTTTTCTATAAATAAACAAAAAAATAAACAAAAACCAGTTTATAAAATTTTTGTAAATATAAACTGAAAACATAAACGTTACCAAATACACCCTAAGTGATAACCAGAAGCGTTGTATTTGTCAGTAAAGTCCAACTTTAGATCTTTTCATAATTTAAATTGTTCATTTATAAAATTTATTAAATAGATTATTTATACTAAAAATTAAATTAATTAGATATCATTAACTATAAAATCAAATCACAATCATTATTAAACAAAACAAATCTGACAAATGTAATTTTAAAAACGAACTACCCATATCTTTTATAAAAAATTTAATCAAAATATATGACTATTGATATTCAATCAACTTAAACTTTTTACATCTTTAGGTGGTGTTTGGCAAGTTGGGTTGGGGCTAAAATAGCCATAAAAGACAAAACAGGCTATTTTAGCCACAACAAACAAAACATCACATCCAACCCATAATCATTACACTCTTCTCTCACAAAAAAAAATCAAAAAAGCCAAAAAGCCCTTCCCAAACCAAACTTTTTAGCCCAGGCTAAAATAGCCAAAAAAATCAAAAAGCCAAAAAGTCAACCCACTTCCCAAACGGAGGCTTAATCTTCTTAAAAAAATACCACTAAATGAACGACTCAGATAATAAGATTGAATTAGAAATTAGGGCATAACACTTGTGGTTAAGAAGAGCACAAGAGATGGACCACATGGCTCTCAAGCAAAAGCCAAACAAGCAGCTGGTTTTTCCGCTCAATGGCCCTGTTTGGCGAGTGGGATTTAGGTTTTTTTTTTGGTTAAAATTTATAAAATAATAAAATAAATTAAAATAATTAATAAGATAAAATATCACATTAAATTCATAATTATTCTATTTTTTCTCTCATAAATATCACATCCTATTATAAAAAAATTCAATCATATTTTCAAACACAAAAAATTAATTTTACTAAAATAACTAAAAATTAAAATAACTTATTAAAATAATAAATTTTCCAAAAGTGGCCAATGTATATCCTGCTGGCAGCTGGTATCTAAAATAGTAGGCCCCACAACTCCTCCCTCTTAAATTTCCCATTTTACCCCTCCCTCCCCACATTTATATACAAACACACCCTTCCCTCCTTCTTCGTCCATCCCTAACTCTCTCTCTCTCTCTCTCTCTCTCTCTCCAAAACCCTCTCTCTCTCTCTCTCTCTCTCTCTCTCTCTGCGTTCAAAATCTGAGCAATGAAGGTAGCGAAGCTAACGAAGCTCAAATCAGCACTGAAGAAATGGCCTTCCTTCACCAAGCTCGATCGCACCATTAGCTCTTCCACCTCCGTAACAGCCACAGACGACGGCGCCGCCACCGCCGCCGGAAACCTCCACCCCGTCTACGTCGGAAAATCTCGCCGGCTGTACCTCGTGAGTACCGAAGTCATTGATCACCCTCTGTTCCAAGTCCTGGTCGACAAATCGAACGGCTCTGATGGGATCACCGTCGCATGTGAAGTCGTGCTCTTCGATCACTTACTTTGGATGTTGGAGAATGCTGGCGCAGACGTGGCTTCGGTGGACGAGCTCGTAGAGTTCTATAGCTACTGATCATGATGATTCTTCTATTGGGCTGGTTGTGTGGGTGATTATAATCCTCTGTAGTCAGGTTTATATGAAATTGTAAATGTTGGAGGTAGTTATGATGAGCGGTGATGATGAAGTTGAGGGAAGATGTAGATTAGATCAGCGTTGGAAGATTTAGACGGTGAGGATTTAAGCTCACTATGGCGGATGATTAAATGTGTCAGGAATTAGTTATTTGATTACCTATTGTGAAGATCAATGCGTCTGATTATGGCTTCTTTTTCTTTTCATTTGTTAGTTTATTGATTTTTTTTCAATGGAAATTTTTTAAAAAATATAATGAGTGCGCTTGGTTTGAGTTTTCTGGATTAAATTTTATGAAAATTGATTTTTTTAGTTTTTGTGTTTTTTTTATTTTTAGTGAATATTTTTTAAATTTTAAATATTTTTTTTATTTTTTTAGATGCACCTTACTTAGATGTATCTAAAAAGTAAAAAAATTTATGAAAAAATATTTTAAAAAATTAATAAATACATAAAAATACAAAAAATGTACTAAATTCTTATTTTTTTTTTATTTTTGGTATTTAGTGAATTTTTAAAGATTTTTTTAATAATTTTTTTACTTTTTAGGTGTATTTTATGTTAGGTGTGTCTAAAAAGCAAAAAAATTGCTTAAAATATTAAAAAAATTCAGTAAAAATAAAAAAATACGAAAAATAAGAAAGTAGAATTTTCTAAAAAATATTTTTTAAAAAGTGGAAACAAGCAAGTTAATGGTTTGCATGATGGAGGGTCTAGCTTTTCTCCAGTTTGTGATCTGACTGGAGGGTGTTGTTAAACTTGTAGGGGTCCATTACGGTCTCATTTCGATAATTTGAATATTTTATCGGATCAGATTTTTGTCAATCGTTTATTTTTTTTCCCATTCATTTTATTTTTTTTATACAAAACTGATTTGATCACGTAATTATCGATATCTGATCAACGTGATTTTTATAAGCATGTAATACTCGACGAATTTTACACTTTCAACAATTCGAATTATTAAAACAAAATTCATAATAAGTCCTCATGAATCTAACAACACACTCTACCAGACTGGAGAAAAGCCAAACTCTTATGGGAAATAAATGAAATTGCAAGAGAAAATATTCGAACTCAAGAAAATATGACAATGACATGACATAGGTATTAACCATCAGCAAAAGTAACTCTGAGGCCTCGTTTGGCAAGAGGCTATTTTAGTTAATTAGTCAAAAACTTACTAAATTAGTCAAAAAGTCAACAACCCATACCAAAAAGTTAAAGATTCTCTTTTCTCTCTACTTTTTGCACATCTTTTCGTAATTAGCCAAAAAGTCATCCCAAACATATAAGTTTTTTTTACCTACCTTTTTAGTCAAATAACCAAAAAGTTACTAAATTAGCCTGTTCCCAAACGAGGCCTCAAAAAGGTTTGAGAATTTTGTTCAGAAACTGATTGTGCGGTAGAGAGTAACTTCTAGTGTAATGCGATGTTAATTTGAATCACGGATTAATAAATTTGATCGCGCAATTTATTTAGGTGGACTCACCAAGGGTTTTAATTTAATAATTTAAATTATTATTATTATTATTTTGAAATATTTTTATACATAGATTGTGCATCAAAAAATTAAATTGATTCGATAATGATTAAATACATTTACTTGCTCAAAGAATGAATAATTTATTTTCATACTTATTATTTACTTTTATTTATATACAAATATAATAAAATAATATGTTTGCAGTTATCACATTAATCTAATTTTTTTATAATATGTTTGCAGTTGTCACATTAATTTTAATTTTTTTTCATGCATTACTTCTACACAAAACTTACAAAATAATACGGTCATAAAATTTGGAACCCGTAGTGGGTCCAGTAGGTCATACTGCATGGTCTAATCAAATAAATATAAATTTTTTTTTTCTTCATGTTTTTCACAATAAAAAGCAATTTCTTTAACAAATGTTTGTTTCTTTCTATCTTTAAAAAACATTTATGTTCTTTTTTATTTTATTTATTAATTTATATGGTAGTTTTGAAGATGAATGAATCTAGTGATCTGTTTCTTGTAAATCTATATTAGACACACGAATGGAAAACCAAAGAAAATTTGTGGCACATGAACTGTGTTTTGGGAACCACAATTAAAGTTGTTGGAATTAGGAAAGATTATTGTTTGTCCATTCATAGGAATTCATGCAATTGAAAAGTTTGGTTCTGAATAATCCAAAATGCCAACTGGAAGTTGATGGGTGCAAAGGTGGCAATTGGGGGATTGGTGAAAGCAATGGCAGATATCTAACAAAATACAAAAAAGAAAAGAAAAAAAGGAAGATGTGTACATAACTTGTGCACAGAAAAATATTTAAAATTTTAATGTGTGATTCAAATTTAACGTATGTATACTTATAAAAGAATTTGAGTTGCACAATAATTTTCTTAATATATTTATGTGAATGAGTTCTGTATATCTAATATTATTAAACAAAATAATAATGTTATGCGAAAGTTATTTATCATACTTATAAATCATGGTTTATTTGAGACGTTGTCTTTGGGTTGGTGCAATCTGGGATTGAGATTCGTCAGTTAAATCGTTGATTTAACAAGTATTTACAAAATATAAAAAATGATATTAAAAAAAAAAAGTGACATATTTTTATTAATTTAAAAAAAACATCAACATATTTCAATTTTTTTTTTATACATATGTTAATATTAATTTCCATGAAATATAATAAGAAAATAAAGGATGTGGGGGTGCGAATTTGAAAAATGAAGTAAACTTGAGGCAGGTTTTGAACTGACATTAATTGATTGCTATACTACGCATTAAGGCAGTTAACGTAATATATAATTAAGCAGTAAATGATTGGGTTAGTTAGAACTTAGAGCATCTTGAGCAGTGCATAAATTTTTTTTTATTAAAGTTGAATAAAAGTTTTCTTTGATATCAAATGTTTCAATAGAAGGTTTTTGAGTGTCATGAAACCACCGGTTGATCAAGCGGATAATCGGGTGATTGACTGGCCAGTATAATTTTTTCACAAATTTTTACTTTCAGGTAGTCATCTAGGAGGATGACCAGGAGGATATCTAGGGAGACATTTGGCAACGACAATGAACATTGATTTAATGAAATGCACATTGATCCCCAGTTTGATGAAAGAAAAGTAAAATTCTCGATTTGATACCTATGTAGTAAAATTGTTGGAGTAGAAAAGAAGCCATTTTTCATTAAATTCAAATTGGTCTTAGAGATGTTTTTGTTGCACACACTCATTGCAAAAGCTTTCAACATATATTGTGAAAAAAAAAAAATGGAAACTAATGTTATATAAATTAGCTAGTGTATGCTCGTATTTGAAGGTACGGTGTGAATAAAAATAAGTGAACAAAAAGTAGAAGAAAAAAAAAATAGAGAGAAAAATAAAAATGGAAGAAAATAAAAAAATAAAAAGAAAAGAGAAATGTGAGATTATGGGATTATGGAAGGATGGGTGAAAAAAGGAAAAAGTAAGAGAGAGAAGCGGGAAAATAGAAAATGTACATGTACAACATTTTTTGAAAAATATATCTTAGACATTATTTTACAATTTGAACAGATTTGAGCCATTCAAATGTCTTAGTCAGGCAAACATATATTAAAAACTCAAAAACCGTCCTACTTTATTATATATATTTTATTTTATTTTTTTACAAAATGACATAATATTTTATGATCATTTTATTTTAAATTAATATACTTATGTGACTCAAAATTTAAAAAACATTACCTCCAAATGATTTTATTATTATTATTATTATTATTATTATTATTATTATTATTAATAATAAATTTAAATTTGAATGAGAGAATTGTTTAGGCTCGAGAGCCCACCACGGGTACCATTTTAATGATTTAAATAATTTATTTTGTAAGATCTTTTATTTATAAAATTAATAAAAAAAATTAAGTTAATCCAATAATTGTAGGATTTTTATCTTATCATGTTTGTCTCTGAAAAAGCGAACAATAAGTGTGCTTTTAAAAATAGACTATTTATTTTTTTATAGACAAATGCAATAAATTAAAAAGGTAAAATTATCAAATTAATTTAATTTTTTTTATTAATGATATACATAATTTTTTTTATAAAATAAATAATTTAAATTATCAATATAAATGCCTAATAAGTCTCCCAAATCTGAACAATTCTCTCATATCTTAAACTTGAAAAAATTCCATCTCTAATTTTTATTAATAAATTTATATGAATACATTCACAAGTTTTACTGGGACTCTGGGAGTCACACAGGACAATGGTTTCACTACTTTTAATGCTCCAACAAGTTGTACAAAATAAATATAAATAAATAAAAACGGTCCAACAAGGAACAGAAAGACCATGCTACATAAGAGTAGGCCCAGAGCTGGATTTAGGTATCCATGGGCCACGCCCACGGATTCACTTCATTTCATCTGAGTGTATTTATTTATTTATTTTTTACAAATTGTCAAATTAGTTTAAATAAAATGAATATAATAATATAATGTGTAAATTAATCATATTTATTTATCAAGTCATGTATTATAATTTACATTTTAATTTAACAAGTTTCGTCTCTTATATCTTTATTTGTATATAGTAACGGGGAAATTATTTATTATCTATAGTAATGACACACATGGATAATAAATAAAAATATGTTAAATAAATATGCTCATTTATTGAAAGGAATATTACAAAGATGAAGAACAAATGAGAAAGTAAAAAAATATTAGTAGAATTTGAAATGTATTCAATTTTTGAGACGTGATCCACACGCTATATGAAATTTAAATCTTTACCATAAAATTTAATTCCGGGACATTTTGATGCATATTTTCCTATATACATAAGATTTTAGGTTAATTACATTTTAATCACTTTAAAATCATACATTTCAGGCTCTAAAATTGTAGAAGAATCATACAAATATCCTCTTCAGAAAGAGTGAAAGCAATAATTTTGTTAATTAAGAAGTTTAAATATAAAATTTAAAATTGAGATGAACAAAATAATATTCAGTAGTATTTAAATGGGATAAAATGTAATTACTCACGTTTTTATATTACAATTATGAAAGATTAGAGTAAAAAAATGGCATGTTGAGACCATGGGCCACAGGATGTCCAACCAAAGATGATCTTAACAAATAGAGTGGTCTGCTGCTTGAGAGTTTGAGAGTGTGGTGTGGGTGACATCATGATGAATATACGCCTGAAACCCAATGTTATTGTCTAAAATATGTCATTGTCTT